ATTTTCTGGAACTGTGTTTGTCTTTAGATTTGTGTTTTGTCCTTACTCTTGTTTCCCATTTTTCTAAATGTAGTTTAGCAGCAGTGAAAGTAGCTACAGGCTAAACACGTTCCTGCAGAGGTCAGACCTTCTGCAGAAGCTTGTCTTAGCATTAGCCCGTTATCCCGAGGGCTGTTGACATCTCCAGTCCAGTGAAACAAAAAATAGGTTGCATTTTTGTTCTTTTGTTTTTTCTACACTGACGCTACAAAATGATCAATTTCACCTTCACAACTTTGGATCCATCATATTGAGAAAGTAAATATAGCTATGTCTTCCACCACTTGGCAGCCACCTGAATGAATTTTGTTTACCTTTCGAAAGAAGGTTAAAAGCAGAATAAATAAGCTCTGCTTACAAAATACGGATGTGTACTTTTTGTGCATCATTGTGATGACATGTTCTTGACACTATTTGGGATACGTTGACACTTAGAAATCTAATTTAGTTTTAAAAATGGATTATTGTCAAAAGAAAATTCATATCTCTGGGTAATCATTGATATTCTCCAGACTAGAAAGATGATCGTGTCCCCAAAGTTGTTAGCTGGAACTGTAATTTTCTACGTTAAGTTCCAGATATTTTAAGATGTTTAGGTTTTTAAATGTGGTACTGTTCTTTGTATATTGATCATGCATCATCAGGTTAGTTTGTTTATATTAGGGAATAGATTTCCCATGATGCATCCTGGTTTCTCTTACTTGTCTTTTGGATTCTAGCGAAGTAAATGTATTATTTGACAGTTGTTCTTCTTTTTCCACTCCCTTGTCATACACCCCCCCCCCCCCCTTGTTTTCCAGAGCACTCTGACGAATCATGGTTGAGAAAGTCAAGAAATGGAGGAGATCTGAAGAAAGATTGCATGTCAAGTCTGTCCTGTTTTTGTTTGTTTTTGCTTCCCTTTCTATCAATCCATCCATTAATTTAGCCATATCAATAAATAAATAAATAAAAACTCATCCTACTTGGCTTTTGAGTGTATTATCTTGACTTGTCACTCCAGAGTGTACGATGTGTTGATTTACGGTCACGTTGTGCCAGCACATTCCTGCTGTCTGTGAAATAAATCCCAGTGATCCAGTGGTGATGAAACTGCAGGTTTTGTATCGTGTGTGTGTGTGTGTGTTGTGGTGAATGGCTGTCTCTTGTCACAGCATGCTAATAATGGTTCCACTACTGGAAATGGGGTCGTGTGCACCCTTCTGACAATGCTGTGTAGGCCCAAGGGCTTATTGTGCACTGTGTGCATGGTTTCATTAAGAGGGAGAAGCGAAAGGAGAGTGAAGGAAATGAGGGATAAATGAATTGGAGGACAGATGAATACTGAAGCATGCACCAATTAGTGTGTGTGTGTGTGTGTGTGTGTGTGTCTGCTGCATGTGCTTTATGTGCTTTTGCGCTGTACAGAACCTGTAAGTGTCATCACATATAGGTGAATGTGTACACATGAGCAACACACCGGACGGGGCACACATTGTCCCTGCTAGCTGTGTTTCCATGGTGACAGCAGAGGTTCGTGCTAGCAGCAAGGTGTGGAGGAACCTTCCAGATAACCCTGAAGGTCAGCACACAGAGCTACAGCTCACAGCACTACTCTGTACTCACACACTTAACCCCCTCCCTGTGTGTGTGTGTTTGTGTATATATACGAGTGTGTGAAGGAGAAGGACTCTGTCAAGATGCATTTCCACATATATATGGACATAGTTGGCCACCCTTGGAATGACAGAGGCTTGTTATCACACACATGCACTCGCACATACACAGACATTGTATACGCAATATGCACACATTCACACAGCAGAGACACATAGAATATTAATGGCCTGACAGTGTACCCACGCAGCTCTTCCTGAACGTAAGAATGTATTCACACAAGTGGCAGTCGATGTGAATGTAGTGGAGTGCGTTTGTTAATGATATCTGTGAGGAGTGATCTATTGATCACAGTTTGGGTCCCATTCATCACCATCACAACATGATATCAGACAATACAGTGGATCGATCCATTGACTCTGCAAAGTGCAAAGTTGTATACTCTGAAAACACTGCCCACAACACACTAATGCTAATAAAGTGCCTTAAGTTAGCCAAATATCTTTAAGAAGGTAGCTGTTGACACATGCTTACCTGTATGACAGCAGGCGTGGCTCAGCTTCAGATGTGTTCTCACTACTAGGAATATTTAATTTGGTTTAAATCAGCGAGTGTGCAGAAGGCAGGACATTTACCTCCACTATTGTCACATACATGTGATCTGAATACCTTTTAATGTCTAACTGAATGCACAATGCATGTGTGAGAACAGCTCAGCCCTCAGTCACACGGGCTTGGGACTGGTCGTCAATCCGCTGGCAACCTTCAGGAGCTAGGAGAAAGTGTAAATTCTGTGAATGTTGTTGCAAAAAGAGTGCAGCAAAAACATGTTTTTGATTTCTTTTGTCATTGGCACATCTCCACAGTTGTCTGTAGCTTCCACGGAACACTTACTCTTCCAATTACTCTTCAAACTGTACTGAAATTTGAAAAAGTGTGATGCTAACTGGAAATGCAATGTAAAAAGTTTTGCCTTACTTTTACTTTGAGGCGAACATTCTCCATTTCCAGTTTGCATTTCCGTTTCACCGCTGCTTGACGAGTAGTGTTGGCATACAAGCCAGCATCATCTGTGCAAATTACTGCCGACCTTTGCTACCTGCTAGTGACTAATCCAGCTAGAGACCTCCAGCAAACACTTGCCAACTGGTTGCAGAATACAGAAATTTCTTCAGCAAACAGTCATTACCGGGGTGTCACTGTCTGCTCTCAAGGTCTCTGTGACTCAGCTCTTTTGTCCAGCTAGCTGTAAGAATGCTAACATTAACAAGTTGCTGTAGTGTAGTTTGGTAAAGCACTTGCATGCATAACACAAGCCACACTATGTCAAAACCCTTAAGCCTAACCTACAAAAATGTAGTAGCCCATAACTGACATATGCTCATTTGAATTGTGACAAAAGTGTTTCAGCACATACAGAGTGTGAGAATCCCACTGTCTACCCACAGGTAACTTCTTGTTGTTAGCATAGTGTTAGATATTTTTAGCTTTGATTTGGGGTAGGGGTTTTTCACTAACACAGATTAACAGTGAAACACCTCACACGAGTCAAGGGAGAGCCATCAACTGTTAGCCATTAACTGGTGCACGCTGTCTCTGTGCTCTGTTGCAGAAAGCTAGCATAGGACAGTGACAGCAAGTCAAATGATAAAGAAATGAAGTCCAGCATGGCCATCAGTTTTGTCTGTCACTGCCTCCGTCTACAAACTCCACTTCCTCAGTTGGGATTAGGCAGCTCTAACCCAACACACATGGCGCACATATTACCTATATTAAAGTCAGCACCATATTAGAGGTTTCAGCCAGTGACTCTCATATCCCGTCCTTCTCCCTGACATTTCTTTACAAATACCAGCTTCTATTCACTCTGTTATTGCCTTCTTCCATTCAACAACTCTCTGATTAAACAAGCTCCTGAAAAGCCCAGGCACTGCTATCTGCCATTTGGCTTTTATTAGAAACCCACCCCCTTTAATTAAATTGGTTGAATTACAGAAATATCAGGGATATTTTGCCAATATATTGGATAAGAGAGCACAATGGGTGAAAAATAATGGAAGAATGGGCTTTATGAGATGCTTTGCATGTGGTTTGGTGATGAAATGAGATAAACACTATCTTGATAGTGCGGGGGATGTTTGTTTTGTTTTTTTAAGGAACTGGAGTTTGTACAATCTGAATGAGTCTCATTAAATTTATGTCACCGCTAAAACTCATTTTTAATGTTTTTTGTTGTTGTTGTTGTTGTTCCCTCGAGACTGGATTTATTTATTCGCTGCCTCCACCTTCTCGAGCTCCATCTCAACCGCACACCCTCAGCACCGTGGCTTTCTTTTCCCGCCCTATTACCGTGGAAGACACGGGATTGAGGTTGCCGTGGAAACCAGCCGGGCTTTGATTGGGAGAGGCAGCTGCTCGGTGCAAGGTTAGAAGATGGCTACTCACGCCTTGCAGTGTGCCACTATTGATTTCCAGTCTTTACCAATTACCGGGCCCAGCTGAATACAACGAGTTCCAGAAAACGTGCATAAAGCAGAGGACGCTGTGTGTGTGCGTGTGTTTGTGTGTGCGTGCCGCCGAGGGTGGTGTTACTGTAATGCTCATTTTGCAGCCAGCATGCAGTAATTGTCTTGCTTTTTTTCTTTTTTTTTCCACCCACTTAAGTGCATGTGTTTGTCTGAAAAGTGATCCTTTGAGCTGTTGCCACAGTTTTGACCTGTCAGACATCCCGTAGCTTTAGCTCGACACGTGCTTGACAGTCAGCCGCGGAGCCTAATGTTGTATGTTTTATCAGCTCTGCACCATCTCCTTTGTTCCGTTTTTGAAATGCTGTTTGTCGGCTGTTCTTTCTCATCCTGCTGAAGAGGTGTCAGGCTTTGACAAACTGCTGCCCTTTGAAAAGACTTAATGGGGATCAATTCAAGTAAAGTTAGACACTTAGAATTCACATGCAGTCAGATAAAAATGCTTTTTCATGCACACACATTCCCACACATGTAACTGCTTCTTTCTGGAGTTCACACAGTAGTAAAGTTATTTGCCCTACACTTCTCCCTCCCTCACTGTTCCCCCACTTCTCTGTTCTTCCGTCTTCGCTCGGCCAACTTGGCATTGCATGAGTGTGAATTCCACAGTGAGCCTAATTGGAGTGTGTGGCTGCATCAGTGACAGTCACCGTTCTGTTTCTGCGCACGTTCGCATGAGGTTCTTTTGCTAATTTTAATAGTCTTTTATTAAACTGCGCGAATGTGAACTGGAACTGTCTGCTGGTGATTTTAATTAGACCCCCCACCAACAACCATATGCATAAACATGCAGCTCGGCGAAGCAGTGGAATGGATGGAACCTCAGCCTGGAGGGACGAAGAGGAGGAGAAAACAGGAATAGAGTAAGAGGTGAGTTACATTCGGCGTTATGTTTGCGATTCAGGAGATTTGTAAGGAGCCGCTGTGTTGTTACACTGTCACTTCACAGACAGGAGGCGGTTTGAACCTACTAGTCAGCTGGGGCCTTTCTGTGGGACTTGCATGTTTTCAGTGTGCCTGTGAGAATTTCCTTCCACAGGCAAAATGTAACAACTGAGCTAATTGTTGATTCTACATCAGCCACAGGTGGGGGTGTGGAGTGAGTGACTGGTGTATTCAGTAATTTTAGATGTCACGATTCTCACACAAAAACAATAGGGCGAAAATACAGTGTCTTCAGTGACTTAGCCTCACGATCAGCAAGTCTACTGCCTGTAGCTGTCCATGTGTCCAGTCCATGTAGTGAAGCTGCAAAAGTTAGACACATTAAGAATCCAAGAAAATTGTAATCTTGTGAAACATGAAAGTAAGTGAAGCTGCGACAGGTAGAGACCATGTATAGGCGTGTGAAAAAGAGTTTTCACCAGACTCTGCAATGCTGTGGAAAACTCCCATAATGTTTTCATTGAAATTAAGAGACCAAGAAGCAGTCAGGTGCTGATGATCCAATACACGTGATTATTGATCGTCAGAAAGTGTGAGCGCCTCTATAAAACAGACGTTTTAGCAGTTTGCTGCTCTGGAGCATTCAGGTGTGTGCTAGCACAATATAACAGTTTTCCCAGGAGTGAACAACCCACCAGTGTCATCATGACAAGTTAGACCATGCAGTGTTCAGAGCAGTTACAAAAAAACAAGATCTATATGTTGGGTTAGCATGTCATAACAGCACCGTTAGAAATAGACTGACCGAATATCTCTTGTTTGGATGGGTTGACAGTTGAAAGTCTGCTGCCATGTTCTTTTGAGAGAGAACAAAGCTTAGGTTTGCAAAGTCTCAACCGAAAAAAACCACAAGACTTCTGAAAGTGGACATTTTTTGCCACAATGCATAGCAACACAC